TGAGGTTGCTTTGAGCTGGGCTGACACCATGAAACTTTAGTCTGAACAATAGAGTGAAGCTCTGTCTCAAAAAAAAAAAAAAAAAAAAAAAAAAAAGAAAAGAAAGAAATGTCTTGGCCTGCTCTTCTGCATGTGTTTTACGAGGTAGATAGCATGGCTTTGCATTTTAACTTTGGCATTCCTCAGTGCTATAGTATAGAAGTTTTATCATCCTTATTACTAAAATGAGTTAATTTTTTAGTTTAACCTGGCATTTAGAAGTTTGTAGTTCCTGATGGTTAGTGTGGAATTGAGAACTTAAGAGGTTAGAGTTCTTTTGTACTATTTGTGTTTTTACTATAGATTTATAATAATGTCTTTCATTTGACTAAGAGGGTGCTTTTAGAAATATACGTGAATAGGGTCTTTATAAAATTTTGTTTTAGGGTAGATATGTGTTGCTCAGTTTCAATGTTCATGTAATCCATGTGGCAGTCTTATAGAAATGCAGATTTGGGTTCTTTAGATCTTGTGTGGGGGCCAAGAGTGGACATTCCTAAGAAGTTTCCAAGCTGCTGTTCTATGAACCACATTTAAGTAGAGAATGTCCAAAGGAGTTTATTATTTAAATATCCCAGAGTGAATCCTTTCATAAGTGAAGATCTTTTGCAAGTCAAATAATAGCCCTTTAATTAATTTTCTTATAGATTTATATTCTAGTGCACATAGGAACACGCTCTAGAGTTGCTAGGATATTCAAGGAAAAGAGGGGATTATCTATCACTCTTTGGGGATAATCAGTAGGAAGACAAAGAAAGGATAGGGTGTGAGTGGCAAGGAATAAAAATAACTCTGAAGTTTGGTTGGTTACAGGAAACTCCTTAACTTTAGATTTGAAGTGAAGACATAATACCCATAGGGTTCCTAATGAAATATCCAGCTTTAAAGTATTTTTATGGCATACATAATTAGATGTCTTATATAAATATACAAAGGGGAACGTGAGACCCTCTGTGGAAGTTTTTTTTCTTAAATAATTTAAAGTTCTATTCAGTATTTTTTATTTTTTTTAATCACATTCAAATTATTATTTCTCATCTGTAGTTTGTCCTAAAATGATACTTTTTGCCACAGGGATTCAGTTTGGCCCAGGACCACCAACATGCTGTCTTGTGTGTGTAAAGAGGTGACCTGCTGACTATTAGCTGTGTGTGCTTTAGGGCTGATGATTTTTTTTTTTCATTAAACTGTTCATGCTGGTTTTACCCTGCCCCCCTCTTTATCAAAACAGATGCTTACAAATGCTCTAACCAGGGAGGACTAAGAAGGTTCCTGGCTTGTGCCCGTCAGGTGTGCAAACCAAATGAGCTCACCCCACACAGCTTCCACAAGAGTGAGAGTGGCAGGTTTTAAAAAATTGGAAAGCAGCATAGTTGGTCTGGAGGCCACCTTGCTGGCTAAAAGCATTCATGAGCTGTGAAGATCAGGGGCGACAGCAGTGACATGCCATCTACTGTGTTTTCTTTCAGACTTTCGGCCAGTGTGTTACGAGGAGCCCCAGCACTGGTGCTCAGTTGCCTACTATGAACTGAACAACCGCGTTGGGGAGACGTTCCAGGCTTCCTCCCGGAGTGTGCTCATAGATGGCTTCACTGACCCTTCCAATAACAGGAACAGGTTCTGCCTTGGACTGCTTTCTAATGTAAATAGGAACTCAACGATAGAAAACACCAGGAGACACATAGGAAAGGGTAAGAGCAGATGTTGATACCAGATTTTGATACTGGATTTCCAGGCTCTTGGTTTCAGTGGTTCGAAGAATAAAGCAACTGACCACAGGATCAGCAGTAGGTTAGGTTTTATTTAACAAGTATTACAGCTCTCACAAGGAATCAAACCTTCTTACAGAGCAGGATCAGCAGTAAGATAGTGTTACAGCTCTTACTAGGAACCAACCCCCCTTGCTTTCCTGCTCTTTCTTGGAGGTCTGCATCTGGGCTCTCTGCTTAGGGGCTTATATAAGGGCAATTGTCCAATAAGCTTTCAGGGCCTGAAAACAGACCAATCAGGAGCAGGTTTTGAAAACAGACCAAACAGGGATACACTGGAGGAACTGACCTGCCAGAAGTCCACATGAGGGGAGCACCAGTGTCTCCCCCCTCGCATCCTCTGTTAGCTGCAACAGCAGCAGGTCCAGGGACAAGGTGGCCGGTCTTGGTGCCACCTTGTCCGGTATCAATGTGTCTTTCTCTTTTTCTAAGTCAAAATGTGGGAATAGAAACTGGTCACGTATTGGTCATGTATCCTTGTGGAAGGACCCCAGAATAGGAGAGCTGGGAGGCAGTTCCAGCCGTACTGTGGAGGACAGCACATGGGCTTTCAGGGCCTTATTCCCGCCTGTGAAGTCAGCATGCCACCTGTTGGGAGGGATGTGAAGTGGGTGTTGTGGCAAGCAAGATGGTAAATATGAAAGCAAGATGAAATGATTGAATGGAAAAATTGTGCAGCATTATTATTTTTGTGTGTGTGGGGGGGGGTGTGCATTATTTTTGAATTACCTAAAGATGCTAACTAATTAGGATACCTTCCAAAGATGAGGAATTCTGATTGGATGATTTAAAGTTTCCTTTGGGGACATAGTTAGAAATAATGACTGATTTGTGTTTGGAAGCCTTCGGTGGGCAACTGGAGATCTCCTGGCCCAGGAGGGGTTACAATGGCTGACTAGGCACAGGCCACACTGGCCTTTGATCAGTGATGCTTTTAAAGCCCATCTCATCTGCTTGAGTGGCAATCCCAGATGAATATTAGGCCTGGTTGAGTATCTTTAAATCATTTTCTTTTCTGTTAGGACAGTTGGTATCTCTGAGTGGTACTACTCTGGAGTCACACATAAAGAACTTTCTGAGTCATTTGATCTTTTCTCTCTCTCTCCCTCATTTAAACCATCTTGAGAAGGTAGTAGCCTTAAGGCTATTCTTTCACATTTCCAGAGGAGATTCATTATTCCACTTGGTGATGTAAATATTCTTCCTGACATACCTAATAAATGTCTACTGTTGTAGTAAACCTACATGCCATTGTTTAGAAACAAGTTGAATTTGTTCATCGATGTTGACTCTTAATGTAGACCATTACCTTATGCTTATTTATATTCTATTTCTTTCCATAGTGGCTTTTGGAAGCTTATTAGAAACCTTTGAGTTGAGATGATGAATGAAAACTAGAAAATAAGTCTGGGTATAATGGCTCATGCCTGTAATCCCTGAACTTTGGGAGGTGAAGGCAGGAGGATTGCTGGAGGTCAGAAGTTTGAGTCCAGCCTGGGCAAGATAGCAAGGTTCTATCTCTCCACACCCTGCTAATAAAAAATTCGCCATGAGAGGTGGGGGTGCACCTGTAGTCCCAGCTACTCAGGAGGCTGAGGTGGGAGAATCGCTTGAGTCCAGGAGTTTGAGGTTGCCGTGAGTTACAGTTGTACCACTGTACTCTAGCCTGGGCAGCAGAGTGAGGTCTTGTTTCTAAAAAAACAGAAAAAGAAAAAAATAGAAAATTAGAAACTGGTATTGGGGGTAGGGGAGAAGAATCTAAGTATGTCCTTGTGACTTATTGTCATCATTTTGCTCCAAGTTTCCAGACAGGGAGGTCAGAGAGGTGAAGCTCACTCTGTATATAACTGTTACCTCAAAGGGGAAAAGCTGTTCCTCAAAGGAAATAACTTTTTTACTTTGAATTCTTAAACAGGTTTGTCAGGCCTGGCTTTCCTTTCAAATGCTTTTTATAAGAATCTTCAGTGAACTTGATAGTACAACAAAGTGGCTATCCTCAATGATAAGTTAGGGTGTACTTTAAAAAGACCAAAAGAGGGGCTCGGCGCCTATAGCTCAAGCGGCTAAGGCGCCAGCCACGTACACCTAAGGTGGCGGGTTTGAATCCCCAGCCCGGACCCGCCAAACAACAATGACAGCTGCAACCAAAAAATAGCCGGGCGTTGTGGCGGGCGCCTGTGGTCCCAGCTACTTGGGAGGCGGAGGCAGGAGACTTGCTTGAGCCCAGGAGTTGGAGGTTGCTGTGAGCTGTAATGGCACAGCACTCTACCCAGGGGGACAGCTTGAGGCTCTGTCTCAAAAAAAAAAAGAGGGAAACTGGGATGTTCCCAACACAAAGAAATGTTAAATGCCTGCAGTGAGGGATACTCCGATTATTCTCATGTGATTCACATCATATACCTGTATCAGAACACCACGTGCATCTTATGAAACGATGACATACAACTGTTAATATTCCTATAATAAAAGATAATACAAATTTAAAAAATTAGAAAATAATACACTTTAAAAAAAGAATCTTCAGCAAAATCTAAAAGCAAAACATTAACATGTAAAGTCGCGGAGCTATTTGCTAAAGGCTTTGCAGATTGGTTTATGTATTAAGCTTCTGCTGGTGCCAGTGGACACAAAGATAGAATTAAAATATAAAGGAGTACTGAACACTTTCTGGCCTCTTCAAAGTGCTCCTGACGAGAATGTGGAGAGTAGATGTTTCGTGTTGTTAACTGAGAGCTAATCTATACTGGTAAGAAACCATATGAAAATAATTGGATAACCTCTTCCAAAAACGGGATTGACCAGCCGGGCATGATGGTTCATGCCTGTAATCCCAGCACTCTGGGAGGCTGAGGTGGAAGGATCCTTTGAGCTTAGGAGTTTGAGACCAGCCTGAGCAAGAGTGAGACCTCACCTCTACTAAAATTAGAAGAACTAATATGCTAGTGGGCACCTGTAGTCCCAGCTACTCAGGAGGCTGAGGCAGGAGGATTGCTTGAGCCCAGGACTTTGAGGTTGCTGTGAGCTATAGGCTGACGCCAGGGCACTCTAGCCTGTGTGACAAAGTGAGACTCTGAAAAGAAAAAAATCTGGAATGCCCAACTGCTTGATTACCTGGGTAGAAGGGCACTCAAGCTTGTGTGATCCCTCAGTCAGAGCCACAATCCTAAGAAAGGAATTTTTAGAGGAGTTACCAGCCATGCCATAAAGCATGGAAGAAAAGAGTATCAGCTTAGGATATTTGAAAGCAAGGGCCATCAGCCATCTGTGCGATTACGGGACTCTCTCTGGGGTACGGGTTAGCTGATTCCCTGCAGCTTGGCTTCCTGAAGCACCAGTGCTCCTAGGTTAGTGCGTAAGTTGAGTCTCTCTGCAGAGGTGATGAATAGAGACACTTAGATATTAAAGATAGGCATCCATCTCACCAGTCTTTACTGAGTACCTATTCAGCTGACTGCACACTTGGGATCCAGCAGGGAGATGCAGACCCTGCTCCCATGGGTTACATGCAACTAGGGAAAAGACAGGCTATAGAGGATCATACTTACTGCAGTAGTCACCAATATCATAACTCATCTGAGGAATTACTGAGAACAAGACATTCTCCTGGCAGGCCTGGAAATCTCTTGTGACTTGAAAGGCAAGTCACCAAGTAACTCAGTAATCTTGGAGGAACAAAGTTCAGTGCTGTAGTAGTAAGGCTTTTGTTAAATATTAAGCATTTTATGACAGTTCCTTAAAGGATTAGTGGAGAAAAATTGCATTTAGTATTTTAGAGATCATTTCCTTAAGTACATACTCTGTTGGCACCTACGAGATCATTTCCCCAGCACGCAGCCCCTGCATGTCTTTGCTTAGTAATCTTTCCACCTATTATGTATCTTCTCAATAAAAGGGCTCTGAGAAAAGTGCTCCATGCTATCCTGCACCTGTGGTTAGCCTCACCTCTTGCAGCATGTACTGTAATCTGTGTCTCATGTGATTATTTATGCGGTTGTGACAACAGGCGAGGACCACCACAGAGAGCAGGTCCAGCAGAGAAAACAAAGCAGGGGAAGAGAATGGGGACTTCAGACTGAGGCAAGTAGGGAGACCTTCCTGAGAAAGTGGCATTTAGGCCGAGAGCTAGGGAAGGACTTGACAGTGCAGACATCTGAGGGAAGCTTTCCAAGCAAAAGGAATAGCGCGGACAGAGGCCCTGGGTCTGCCTGGCTTGTTCTGAGGAGCATCGTCCAGGGAACAGAGGGGGACAGGGGACAGGTCATGGGAGCCCTGAGTCTGTTTGAAGGGCTTTGACTTAACCTGTGTAGGAAATGGGATTTAGGTTGAGGAGTTTATAATGGTCTGAGTTTATGCTTCAAAAGGATCCCCTGGATGCCCTGTTAAGATTAGACTATATGAGGGCAAGGGTGGAATACGTGTACTGAAAAATAGAATTATTTTTATTATAATTAGTGATGAGCCATTTTTCCCTGCAGCAGTTATCAGTTAGCTTTGGGGTAACTTCTGGTTTGTGTTTCATGTGACTTAAAATTAGCTAAGATGGATGGTGCTCCGACAGGAGGTGACATTATCACCCTCTCAGCAGAGCGCATGCTCTTAGAGTGCTTTCTTTAGTGGTGACAGTCTATGCCCATTCACCTACAGCCTTCCACCTCATAGGGTGCGCTGGCAAGAGGTGGGACTGATAGGAGACTGCATTTATCTGTAGCCTTGCAATAGTTAACTGGTACAAAGGGATTGAGCCTACAACTTTGACCTCCCAGGGAAGTGCTTTGAAGTTAGCACTAGCATACCAAAGGCTACCACTTAAATACCAGAGGCAGTACTAGAGTAGCCTGGAACACTGCAGTCTAATGTGGGATCTGTCCATATTCTTGCTTGAAAATCAGGCAGACCACTTGAACTCTCTGCAGTGACATGTT